GCAGCCTAGCTGAGCTAGTCTGACTCGGCGTCTCCCATGAGACTGAGGCAGACTGGTCAGTGGCTAGAGCTGGGGTCAATTTCAAGTCTTCTTCATTCACAGGTCTTGTTCCCGGGCTGGGAAAACAAACAGCTGGAGCAGGGGCTGGAGCAGCTGTGGCTCCCCAGGCACTTCCCTCTATCCCTTTGGGACCCACCACATGGTCCTTCCACATGTTCCTTCAAGGTCTCTGGATTTCTTATGAGGTAGCTCAGGGCTCCAAAGGTATTTGTCTCACTTGAGAGAGAAACAGATGAAACCATATCATCTTTTCTGGCCTGGCTGGAAAGTCACACAATAGCATCACTTCCATTGCCTTTTATTTGTTAGAAGCAAGTAACTACCACCAGACTGTATTCTAGGGGAGCAGAATTAGACCCCTCCTTTTTTTGAAAGAGTGCTGAAAATTTGTGGACATCCTTTAAAAACACCATAGTGTGGGTAACACCCAGTCCTCAATAAGTAGCAGCACATTTTTTTATGTATCAGATGAGTTGAAAAATAAGACAAAAAATACCTGTGTGCCCTATCATTCCTATCTTAACTCTCCACAAACACACGCACCATGAAACAAGGTGAAAGCACTTAGCAATGTAGGCAAAAGGTAAAAAGGAAGCATAAAAAGGGGAGACAAAAATAATGATCGTTGACATTTATTGATCACTTGCTCAGTGGCAAGCCCAGTGTTAAATGCCTTACATACATTATCTATTTTAATCCTCAGAACAATCCCAGGGGTTCATTATTAACCCTCTTTTTTGGAGGAGAATTCTAGAGTCTACCAATGTTAGTGCATTGTCCAGGATTAGACAGTTTTGTAAAGACATAACAAGGAGTGGAACACAGGTGAGCTGACTCCAGAACCCATGTTCCCAACCACTGTGCACACTACTGAGATCATTTCAGCTGAGACAAGCAGCTGGGAAACCTTTGGCTTAATTTTTCCCTCCCTTGGAAACACCAATTTGAGAGGCAGGGTATCTGAGGGAGCAGGTGGAATAAAACCCAAGAATTCAAAAGTTCTTGAGTCTGGAAAGAGAAATGCCAGGTTGTTGTTGATGGGAAGAGAGCACAAGAAGTAAAAGACTGCCAGACAGCCAGGTAGCAGGGATCCTGGGATGCCTGGCCCCACTCGGCCACTTACTGAACTCTCCCCACGTGCTTAGCAGAGAAGGCCTTGAACAGTCTAACAAGGGTCTCTTCCACCACCACTGTGCCAGCTGAGCTATCTCAAGCTTGTGCAGTGTAGCACCGCCTCATACTTCTCCTCCCACCAGGAATAATTCAGGGGATTTCCCACAGCCTCTCCTTCAGGATGTAGAAACCACTCCACTTTGAGTTGACAGGTGTCTTGAAACTTTACTGGATGATTAAACAGGAAGAGATTGTTGAACAGGGACTGAGGAAAATCTTGTCATCAGATTCAGTCCTTCTGGTAAGGCCTTGGGTGGGGCACTAAGGGGATGAAGCACAGTTTTCTCCAGGGCCCACAAGAGCATCATGTGGCCCAGACCCTGGACCCAGGCCCATGGAGGTTCTGGCACAGCGAGAGATGAGCTGTGGTCTCACTCGGGGCTCCTGAGAACTAGAGCAATGGCTCTTGCAGTTGGCCACACTTAGGTCCTCACCCCAGCCTCCTCCAGTATCTCATTCCTTGGATGCCTTCTGAGATCCACTCCTGGGTGTCCAGGGCCCTCTCCTCATTTGTTCCTTTCCATCCCTCTTGTCTGAACTTGTTTTAGACTATAGTTGCTCTCAAAGTACTTTCTTCTTTCCTATTATAGGATAGCCTTCAAAGTATCCCTAATTCGATATATTCAAAGTCCATCATTCAAAAAATGTTTGTGAGGTACATACTATCTGCACACATAGTTCTAGGCACTGGGGATTCTGCAAGAAACAGGATAGGACACGTCCCTGGCTTCCCTGAGCTTATAGTCCAGGGAGCCTTAACAAAAGGAGAGTTCAGATTTCACACACACACACACACACAAAAGCATAGGTGGGTAGGGGCAGCACAGGAGAAACATTTGAAATAATGTTGGTAATTTTCATTTTACACCTAACTGAAACTACAGCAGCCAGAGTTTGTGACGCATGATGGAAGTGAGATGCCATCTCTGGCACTGAACGACAGCCTGCAGCAAGTCACTTGGCCTCTCAGCCATCCTTCAAGGGCCACCTGTGCAGGCTGGACATTCACCCATACAGACCTTACCTGTGGCAGGAATGTGGTCTGTACCTGGCTTCTGTCATCACTCCCTGCCTGGACTTTCCAGCCAGAGGATTTGTGGGAGGGGAAAATTGCTCCAATCCACCCAAGATACTTCCTCTTGCCTTGACCTCTCCCCGGTTTGCAATAGTGATCTCATGGACCTTTGCAAGCTCTGTCCACAGATTGCTTCTAGAAGCAGGTGCTTGGCTGGTTGGTATCATGTGGGGCACAAGCCTTGCCAGGGGTTGACGTAGCCTCACTTTAAATTGAAAATGTACATGGCAGGAAGCACCAAATAATTAAACTGTTAAGTAGATAAAAGAGGAGTTTTACATTAAGAACAAGACATTTTAAAAACTGGAATGAAAATTTCACATGAATTTCAAAGTTTAAGAACATAGGAAGTCAAATGAATTTCAGCTTTTTGGCTGACAGCTTTAGGCTTTGCCCCCCGCCCCACACCACCCCAACCAATTCTACAGGGCATTTACTTTCCCTCTCCTCTGCCCTACATTGTAGATTGGTTTGGAAAGTTCTGGTAAGAGACATGCACTCTGATGGTGCCCTTGCCTTTATGATAACCTCTCCCAAATGCTCTCTAAGAAAGGAGAGGCAGATGGGAGCAAAAGAGGCAGCTTCACTCAGCTGTTAGCATGCTCTTATAGCAGCAAATCCAACTAGAAGTGGCCCTGAGCAACAAGGACAAATTATTCTCTCTCACAAAAAGAGCTTCCAAAGTAAAGAAGCTCCAAGGTTGCTTAAAAGAGAAGCTCAAAAATGTCATCAGGGACCACGATTCTTTCCATTTTCTCTCTCTGCCATTCTCAGTTTGTTGATATTTGTTCCTGTAGTATCCAGACAGTCAAGCATCATATACACACACAATGATAAGGGGGGCAGGAAGAGAGGGAGCACTCCTACCTTGAATCCTTTTTAAAAAACGAGAAGAACTTTTCCAGTAGGTTCTGCCACCCAAGCAGATTTCCCCTCCTATCTCACTGGACAGAATCATAGCACAACATCACAGGCAGGAGGAATAGAATTTCTGTAATTGGCTTATCTAATCCAGATTCTTCCACCTCCTAGAGGTGCTTCTCCCTGAAGAGTGTGGCCACTGATACCTGAGCCGAATCAGGGTTCAGTTAGTAAGGCAGAGTGCAGTGAATGGCTGTCAGCAGCTACGCAGCCACCAGACTGTGACCTCAACACCCCCATCATCCCCCACCCACCATCACAAAGAAACCTGTGGGAAAGCAGGGTGATTAATGGGGGAAAAACAAAAGTCAAGTGGCTCTCTGTTCCTGAGATGAAAGAGCTTTGTTATGCTTTTGTTTTCAATCATCTGGTTTATGCAACACTTCATTAGCCAAATCCATTAAGTTGCTTTCCAAATTTGGAAAAGTTTCGTCAGCTTGGAAGAAAGCAGCGGACCGAGTTCTGCTGAAGCCTGACCTCTTCCACTGAGCAGGTTATGGATGTGCCTCCCCACTGAGTGGCTGGGCACACACTTGTATGCCAGGGTCACTGGGAAGTGTAATCAGAAGAACAGAACATGAAAGCTGGGTCTTAGTGCTCATCCACTCTCCTGAATGCTATGCATCTCATTACAAAGAGAAGCTTGTGGAAGAGCAGACAGGAAAGCGCTTGCCCACGGTCAGGCAGCAGAGTGGCAGAGGCAAGAAGGGAGCCCCATGTGGCATTCATCTGTTTTCACAAAGTCTCTTAGCTCCAGCTCGGGCCCACCTGGCCAAAAAGCCTTCTTACAATTCTATAAATACCTTCAAATAACCAGAGTCCCGTATAGCAGACCACAAGAACAGGAAGCGAGGTGGAGAGGCGGATGTGGGGAAGGGAATTGGGATGACCTTCCTGAAATATAAACATTCCCGAAACCTACAGAAAGTGGGCATATCTAATGCTGGAGTTGAATAGAAGGAGCTAGTTCATCTTCTTTAGCTGAAGTGGATAAGTTGCAAGACACCAAAGGAAGGAAAGAAGTGAAGAGAGCATTTAATGATCCAGTTAAAAGTAAATATGATACTAGATCCTAACAGACAAACGTGAGTTTAACTACAAAAAAAGAAACGGCCTTTGTTCTTGCTTCACATTCTCCATAGATCTAAACAAAGCTGCCCAAATATCTCACAGGCTCTAAAAACTTCCTTTCAGAAGTCCTACTTTTTATTATCTCAAGCATATGAAGATACACACATATCACACATTTAAAATAATTGATATATAACACAATAAGAGTTAAGTGGTAGTCAATTTCTTTTCTAATTGAAAATAAATATTTCATAGACATTAACTTAAACATTCACTTCTTTTTTTATATTGCAGTTTTCTGTACGTTTTGTGTTTACATTTTCACCGTGTCTCACATGTCGCAAATATTTTAACAGACCCTTGAAAAGATATAAACCCTAGACCCATGCTCACAGCATCAAATGGATAAAATGAGAAACCATGGATCCTTAGACCCTGTGACTCCACAGAGAGGGAGTGGTGGGAGTTGAATTGAGCCAGGCACTCTTAACATCTGTCCCTTACCTTAGCAGTATGCCTAACAGGACTGGTTTGTATCTATGTAATACTTTGTAGCTTACCCAGATCTTTTGTGCATTTGATTTCATTTGATTCTCTTCAACAGCTTAGGATATAGACACTAAATTAGTTATATTGATAAGAAAATTTTCATGTAAAGTGATTAACTTGTTCAGTGTCTTGCAACCAGTAAGTGAAGAAACCGAAGTTTAGAGGTCTTACCGCTCTAAATAATCATCTGCCTTGGATCACAACAAGCTGCCTTCAACTCTTTGTTCATAAATATCTTCTGAGTTTTCTCCTTTATGACTGAGAAGGAATGAGCCATCTCAAGGTCTGAACCCTTTGGATAAGTTGCACTGGAGGAGGAAGCCTGAAAGAGAGATGTCACAATGCCTGGGATGACAAGCAGGCCCACTAAGGATAAAGAAGGATTCTGTCTTGGTTCATTTGAGCAGCTATAACAAAATACTACAGGGTGGGTAATATATAAACAATAGAAATTTATTTTTCTTGGTTCTGGAAGCTGAGAAGTCCAGGATCAAGACACAGTAGCATTAGCGACTGGTGAGGGCTGCTCTCTGCTCCCAAGATAGTGCCTTGTTGCTACATCCTCCAGTGGGGAGGCCCTGTCTTGAGGGTGCTAATTGCATTCATGAGGGCAGAGCCCTTGTGACTTAATTACTTCCCAAAGGCCATACCTCTTAATATTATTGTATTGGGGATTAAATTTCAAAGTGAATTTTGGAAGGGACACCATCAAATAACAGTAACTCCTAATATAAACCAAAGAAAACACCCTCTTCTGGGTGGTATTTTTAACATGCCAATAGCTGAGTGGTTAGAAACTCAAGTCAACACTCTGACCCAAGGCTTGAACCCCAGGAAGGATGAAGTTATTTAAGAGGGCTGCTCTAAGAGAGCTCTTGAGGTAATCAACCTGTTTAATGTAATGGCTATGTGGGCTCCTAAAAGCTGTAAGGCCTGTGTCTGTGACAGTGTCTTGTCACATAATAGGCACCCCATCCATGTCTGTGCTCACCTCTTTGCTTGGTCAACCCTCATTAATGACTCCTGTTATCTTCCAATCCCCATCCCTTGATCAGATTGAATTGTGCATGGGATATGCCAATTAGAAATCCAAAGCGGGGTTATATGCATTTCAAGTGATTGTGCTGGTGTACTCTTTCAATCAGAACTTCCTTTTAAAACATTGGTTCATCAAGTTCTCTTTTGAAGGACAATTTATTATATTAATAGTGCTAATCCTGATATTGTAAATCACATACTTGACATAGCATTGTTTATAGTCAGGCGCACTTCTTTCGAAAGCCTGGTGATATCATAGGAAACCAAATATTCCTCCCTTATCACTCCCCATGCAGGCATTCTTTCCTGCACTCTAGAAATGATATTACGTAGTTTTTAGTAAATGGTAGCAGGGTGGGGAAGCTGCCATTGCAAGGTTGACTTCCCACCACATTTGGAATAAAATCCAAAGTCCAAATCTTTTCCACAGCCCCTGCCAACCTCTCCAACCTCTCCAATCTCATTTTCTATTCGATCTTTTTGTTGTTGTTGTTGTTGTCGTTTTTGTTACAGGGTCTCATTCTGTCACCCAGACTGGCATGCAGCGGCAAGATCATAGCTCACTGCAGCCTCAACTTCCCAAGTTCAAGCAGTCCTCCCGCCTCATCTCAGCCTCCCAAGTAGCTGAGACTACAGGCATGTGCTACCACGGCCAGCTAATTTTTGTATTTTTTTTGTAGAAATGGGGTCTCAATATGATACCCAAGCTGGTCTCGAACTCCTGGACTCAAGGGATCTTCCTGCCTCAGCTTCCCAAAGTGCTGGGATTACAGGTGTGAGCCACTACACCCAGCCCCAATCTCATTTTCTAATACTCTCCTTCCCCTCAATATTCCAGCCACATGACCTGTCTTTTAATTCTTTGAACACTCAAGTCTCTTCTTACCACATTGTCTCAAAGTACAGTGTATACACCTCCTAGAAAGATTTTTCACAACTGATTCCTCCATCCTCAGGTCTTGTTTTAATGTGACCTCCTTCCTTGACCACAAAAATACAGTAGGTTTGCCCCTCCACACTTTGCCTCTTATTATCCAGTTTTTATCCTTTGAAGCACTTATTCAAATTTATAATTGAATATTTTGTCACCTTCTCTGTCTTTTTCAGACTATAAACTCCTGAGAGCAGAGATGTTTGTCTTGTTCATGATGGCGTCTCTAGTGTCTATCACAGAGCATAGCACCAAGTAGGACCTCAACAAACATTTTGTGTTTTTTTGAGACAGCATCTCACTCCATCGTCCAAGCTGGAGTCCAGTGGCACAATCTCGGCTCACTGCAACCTCCACCTCCTGGGTTTAAGCAGTTCTCGTGCCTCAGCCTCCTGAGTGGTAATTAATGAATATATTTTGAATGAATGAATGACCAAATGCTTTAAGAGAGAGTTTTGCTCTCTGACTTTCTTTCCTATTTACCCATTTCAGATTCTTCCTGGAGACTGAGGAAGGAGCGGGGAAGGAAGGAAAGGAGGAAAGGGAAAAACAAAAAGAAAGAAAAGATTGCGAATAGTAAAAAGAAATAAAGGAAAAGAAAGAAAGGAGGGAGGAAGGTGAAGGAAGGAAGGAAGAGAAAAATAGAGTCTTGGAAAGTAATTGTGATAGGTGGCAGCTTTCTTCTGTCTACATGTGCTCGAGCTGAGGTTTATTTGGACATTTGGTAGTGGAACATCTTGTGTTGAATTTCATGGAAAGTTAGTGAACACTACCATGTTAGAATTCCATGGAAAGTTAAAATCAGA